CTGTATTTTTACAGATTACCGGCGCCTCGCCTTCGCCTACTATAATATTGGTGGAAAATAATTTTAAGTACAAATGAGCAACATAAGTACTACTGTAGCTCCGGAATTTCGCTAATAAGATTATTGAAATTTTGTTAAGTTCTACACCGTTTCTCTGGAAAAGGCTTTGATGTTGTGTCTACTTGGAAAAACACAATATAAGATTTATGCACGGTATTTCAATCAACGAAAATGAAGCCGCTTTTAAATATTCGTTTGACACTCATTTTTCTGCTCGCAGACTTCGAAATCAAGACGACTAAGAAACAAGAGAGAAATGTTATGCGTTGGAAAAAAAGGGTACATGCCAGTTGTATAAATGGCTTTATAACGCAATATTATTTTTATGGTATACCCATGAACTTGCTTTAAACAGAACTTTTCTTTCAAATCAGGCTGCAAAGACTTCGCCAGTGTTTTACAAATTGCGTGAGAAGTGGCATTTCACTGACTTGCGCCGTTCTCATAATTATAACTGTATTGTGTTGGTTGAGTCTACAGCTAGTAGCGTTAAATACATCCCCTACTACCTTCCTTCCTTACCTTAGCTTCAGTAAGTTGTACACTCGTGTGGAGTTGAATATTTGTATGGAGGTTATGCAAAATCAGTTATTCCATGATGTGGAAATGTGTGTCTCGAATAAATAACCTAAAGTAACAAGTCACATTTTCATCTGTATTACGAAGTGCAGAATAAGACGACTCAACGAAATGTGTTGCTTATTATTGGATTAAATCAATAATCACATACCCGAATATGTCAAATAAATTTCAAATTTTGGCCGAGAAGTGTCCTGGCCGAAACATGAATCTTATTGTTGCCAGATTCCTAGCGATGTTAGTTTCGAATGTGTCAGTAGACTTTTGAAAAGTTATAAAGTGTTTCACAAAATAATTAGTTTGTATATAATAAACAGTATCGTAAAATGTATTGAAAAATTAAGCAGGAAAAGGAGATTTTTAGTAACCACGTGCAACGACAACTTCGGACTAGAGCATAAAGGATGGTAGCCAAAATTAGGAGAAACGCCATGTCCCTACTGTCCTACATTAAAACTGTATCCAGGGTGCATGATGCTATTTTTTCCATTTAAAATACTACATATATGAATATAGTTTTCAAAGACTAGAAGACATCGCCAGAGATTTCATTGATGACTTCAGATAATCAAATTCAGGTTTCTTTTTGTCCAAAACATAATCCTAGTGTTACAAAATGAAAATTTTTCCCAAATGTTATGTGCCCAATAAATGTAAAAAATTTGTATGACATCAAATAGGTTGTTAATCACGAATTCTAAACTTCTGTTCTACCATTGGATACAACTGCTAAAGACGATCACGGCGAATAACATATTGGAATAAAGACGAAAATAGTGGTCTGAAATGAAAATTCTTTTTTTGTTTACAATAATCTTCATAAGGAATATTACATATTCTTTAAAAATAATGGAATTTCCTTTCGTTCAAACCAGGTGCATATACAAAACGTGTGAAATGGACACACGTCAAAGAAAAGTTGTGTCATTCAGGTTATTAACAGATAATAAAGCCATGATAACAGAATTTAAATATAATTCCTTTCCTAATTGCGTCCTGAGAAATGGGGTTATACAACTGTTTAATTCTCTGAAATATTTCTTCCACTTTGCGGTAAGTTGCTATTTTGTGACTTGCGCCCCTTTTATTCCCACGTATTCAACTGTAATGATTTCCTTTCCAAGTTAGGAGCCGTTTATGTCTTGATTTCTTAATTGCGTAATATAGTATTAAGGAAACGTAGTGCATTAATTCGTTCATCGTTAGCTTTTTGAAAGACAGGCTTACATATTTCCTACATTACAAATTCACAGTTTTCCAATTTACCTGAAGAATGAAGTAAAATATAGATTAGAAAAAAAATCATATATTCATTTCTATTTTCTATCAGTATTAAGACAAGGTTTTTCTTGTTTTTAATTTCCATTTTCTTCTTGGGTGTGAGGTAAGAAGCATTTTGTAACAAAATCAGTTTTGCCTAAACTGTGTAAGAATTTATTATAACGGTCATAATACCGCTTAAATTTATTTTCTTTATCCTAATTAGACCAGTGGAACTACTTAGTTAATTCTGATCTTTGTACTTATTAGTAAATAAGAAAAAAATAATTAACAAAATACTAGTATGCCTTTCAACACTTTTTGCATGCTTGGGCGTAAAGTGTTTTCTGGGTCAGTTGGTTTGTGTGGCCATGGTAACTTACATTCCGCATGACAAAGTAACTGACAGCAGTGCATTACTTCCGACCCACTTGTCAAAGAATTCTAAGGTTAATGACAATGAAGACCGGATGTATTCCATTTCCAAAACGATGAAAGCGAATTCCATTCTCAAATCACGGTATATAGACGAACAGGATAAGAAGTTTTGCAACTGACAGTTGTTACAGAATAACAGCATCTCAAAATAAATTCCGTTAGTTATTCCATATGTGGTTTCCTTATAGCTTGAATGACTGCTCTACTCTCTGATTCTCTACACATAATCTTTCTGACCACATATGAGATATTTATTTTGTAACTAACGACGATAAATTAAATTAATTTAATTAATTTATGTAAATAGTCTGAATAATAAACAGAGACGTAATATAAGCAGAAAAAGTATGTGCATTTCCCTATATTACCAGTAGAATTAAACAAAATTATAGGAGAGTATAACCAACAAATTATTTTTAAGAGTAATACTTACTTTGGATCGAAAGTAACTTAGACTGTGTTACAGAACACAGTACTTAGGAAGTTTGTACCGGGGTAGGATTGAAGGAGGAACTGTAATTACTAGTATACACTAACAACTATCGTAATTGTTATTATTATTATTATTATTATTTAGTGTTCTGTCAGACGACAGGTCCATTGTTCTGCCCAAAAAGAGTTCGCCAGTTTTCCCTATTTGCAGTTCCTCGTTTTAACTCCTGATCGTAATTGTATTGTGCATAAATATAAAGGCCATTAATAATATAGAAACGCAGAAATGAAAACAGTAAAATGTAAGTCCATATCTCTGTCCCGTCACTATAACACAAATAGAACAATTTTGTAAAAAAGCTATTAACTCTATGAACATGACTGTCGTCTGGGATGTTGCGTAATGCAGTCTTGTAGAAATTGGCCTACGTTTCAAAACTTCAGAGATTTTAGGGAATCGTTCTAATAATGGAGGCAGTAAGTACCTTTGAAACTTTTGGTCAATTTCTATAAGACTACGTGGTGTAACATCCTTCAAGACTGTCGTCTTCATATTTGTCGTCGCGAGAACCTAAAAGTTCAGACAACTATTAGCTGGTCTCAACATGTTACAAAGTTGAGATGCTTTGGGTCGACTGTAACAAAGCAAAATTACGTTCACTTTACAATTCATATCTTTGTTGGTCTTATGAGCTGTAAAGCCGCGTGAACTTGTATGTAAGAGTCAACGTTGCTTATTAAAATACTACCTCCTTCTTAAGGACTACTCAATCGAAAGGACTTGAAGATAGATACTAATGTTTCGGAGAAGCACATTGCTTTCACCACCCCAAGACTGAAGTGCCCTGAAAAAGGAGGTAGTATGTTTTCCCGAAACGTCGACACCTAGTTTTAAGGCCACCTGGTGTTAAGAAATAGAAAATTAACATCAACTTATTCAACGTCGTGAGAACTTCAAACCTCAGAGAACGTAATGTCCATCATTAAATTCAGAATTTTTGCACCTAGTACGAGTCTTCAGGAAACCCGCTGTCTTTTTATCCTTCCATGAATCAGAAACTGTTAGGAAATTTAGCTATAAAACGACTAAAATTGTTATTCAGCTACGGTCTGGTTATTCAGAGACATTTGTTTGGATAAAAAATGTAAATATCTCGTGGAATCTGTCGTAAACTATCCCAAATATCATTAAGTGACTGAGTAAAACCATAAGTTGTCAGGATAGCCTGCCTTCGGATTGAGAAATAAATCCGGGACCTCCAGAATACAAAGTGAAATTTGTAACCGATCAATGGCATTAATTTCTTTAGTAGGCTTCTGTAAAAGAGGAATTGTGTTTGATCAGGGCATGGAAAGGAGATGTACAACGCATGAACATTACAGTTTTGCATATTTCAACCTTACATTCTTGAAGGCACGAGAATTAAATTGATTCTGAACCGAATGGCATATATATGGTGTGATCTGGTTTTGTCATGAACTGCGTTTGTCTGTTTGCAGCTGAGTGAGGACATTGGCTACGTGCTATACTCGGCTCTTGGATCCTTCTACATCCCGAGCTGCATCATGGTATTCGTGTACATCCGGATCTACTTCGCGGCCAAGGCGCGAGCAAGGAGAGGAATTCGGAAGCAGCCTCGACCTCGTCAGCCGCAGGAAGAGAAGTGCACGAGTTTCAGCACAGTACCTACTCAGGGAGCAGTTGGTGGGGCAGGTAGTGGTGACGGTAACAAACAAGTAGTGGGTGCTAGTGGTGATGTAAACAGTAACTCTCCCATGAGGAACGTGGTGGTGGAGGGAGGAGTGACGCTTGAACATGGGGGAATAGCTACAATAGCAACACAGCCTCCACAGCCAATGGCAATTCCGATAGTGACTTGTGACTTCGCGTCAGATATCAGTACAAGTGATAACGCGGACGGAACGACTGGACAGGAGAACGGCGACGGTGGTGGATATTTAGAAGCTCCTAAAGACACGTTAAAAGTAATGGGCACTGGGACGATGATGTCTATGCAGAAACACCCCCTGCAAGTGTGCCAGTTTCGTGGTTCTACTCTGTCCGTCAACGGTGACCTGGCACAGCAACAGGCAGCTATGACACGGTGCAGGGCGCCAAGTGTTGGCATCGACACGGACATGGTTAGCGAGTTCGATCCCTCGTCGTCCGACTCCGGAGTAGTCAGTCGATGTGCCGTTGTTAAGCCTCTGAAGTTGAGACTATGTCAGCCCATATTTGGACGGCGCGCAACGTCAAAAGCGAAAAGGCAGATGATCGATATGGGCAAAGCCTCTCCTGGTCACGGAAATCATCCGGGAAGTGATGGAAATATTACAGAAAACGTTCCCAGAATTCAGAAACCACGCGATCCAGAGAGAGAGAAGAGGAGGTTAGCGAGGAAAAAAGAAAAGCGGGCAACGTTAATTCTGGGTTTGATAATGGGTTCCTTCATCGCCTGTTGGCTTCCTTTCTTCTTTCTTTATATCCTGACACCGATGTGCGCATGGTGCCAGGTACCTGACCGAGCCTTCGCCACCGCTTTCTGGCTCGGTTACATGAACTCTGCCCTTAATCCCGTCATTTACACCATTTTCAACAAGGATTTTCGTCGTGCGTTTCGAAGGATCCTGTTTAAGTGATGTTTGTTTGTGGTTTTCTGCTGGCTGTGCGCCAGAGTAAGGCGTGCAGACGGTAGAGACAGACCCACAAAACACAAGAAAAAGAAGAAAAAAGAAGATATTCGGAGATGATAAAACGAAATAAAAGATATCATTTTAATCCTCTAAAATTCTGGCGCAGTCCCAGGCA